CTGCTCTGCTCTGGACATAAAAAGGACATAAAACTATCAGAGAGTGTCCAAAGGAGGGCTAGAAAGATGGTGAAGGGTCAGGGGGGCAAGACATGAGGAGAGGTTGAGGCCCCTTGGTGTGTTCAGCCCCGAGCAGAGCAGGCTGAGGGGAGGCCTCATGGCGGCCTGCAGCTCCCTCACGAGGGGAGCGGAGGGGCAGGCGCTGAGCTCTGCTCTCTGGGGACAGCGACAGGACCCGAGGGAACGGCATGGAGCTGGGACAGGGCAGGGTCAGGCTGGGGGTTAGGGAAAGGTTCTGCACCCAGAGGGGGGTCGGGCACTGGGACAGGCTGCCCAGGGCAGTGGGCACAGCACCGAGCCTGTGGCAGAGCCCACCCCGGCAAGGTGGGAGCTGCTCCTATAAGTGAAATATGCCCAGGTGTGACGGGGCAGCATTCAGCCAGAATCAGAGAAATCGCTCCTGCAGCGACACCCCTCATCCTCCTTGTTCTCCCTGGTCACCTCCTGCCATCAGGGGAAATACCCAGCGTGGTGTGCTCGGCACTGCTTTCTTACCCTTGTTTCCCAGAGTGGAGACGTTCATGTAGTCAGCAGAAAGCAAACAGGCATATTTTTCCTGATGTTCTCCTCTGTGCAACTCATTTATATTATGCTGCATCCAATGAGTCATTATTTTCTTTCACTATAAAGGTGAACTAGGGTCAATTATTTGCCATCCAAGGGACCCGGAGGTTCTTTAGCTCTTCAGCCCTAATTCAGCTCTTATTTTTCATCTTCTAGAAAATGCATACTGAGGAGGCTGCAAGCTAAACAGGGTAATGAATGCACTGGCATGACAGTAACTTAAAATATTTGAAAGGTCAGAAAATGCAGATTTTGTGTGTCATCTTACCTTTCCCGACTTAATTCTCTTCTGTTTTCTGTGTTATGAGTTTGGCTTAGAGTACTCTTTGTAGCACAGATGTTTGGGACAACCTTAATTTCTTGAGTTTGCATGTTTAACCTTCTGTCATTTCATCTGTTAACCAAGTACGTGCTGGGTGGTTTCTTCCACTTTCTCTAATGACAAAGATTGAAATACAAAGATCTTATTTCAAACTTAAGAACTTAGAGCCTCCTTGGCACAAAGGACAGAAAACTCGCCCCCCGTTTTTGCACGTGCGCTCCCCGTTTTCACGACAGGTGCCTTTTTTTGTCCCAGGAGCAGTTCGTTGCCATCCCGCTGCCTCTGCGAAGCCAGGAGGAACTTTTCCCTGCCTTGCCAGGAGAGACCCGGCTGAGCTCCCCGAGCAACATCAGCCTGCGCTAAGAATTCAGGTCAGGATCTCCCTGCTGGTCTCCTAGCAACTGGGGGATACTGGTGCTTTCTCCCTCCACTGACTCATTCGGCACCAGATGCAGGGACCTCACACTTTGGGAAGGCAGAGCAGAGCCCGGTGCTGGATAACTGAGGGGATGTAGCGTGTGCCGCCCAAGTCGAACTGAATCGAGGCTTTGCAGGATCCTCCACGCAAACCTTAAAGCACCTCCGTTGTGTTTGCTAGCACTCAGAAGTTTGGCAAGGTGACAGATCTCTTTTGAAGCACCAGTAGCCTTTTGTGTCGTGTCAAATCTGGCAAAACAGGAACGGATGCAGGTAAGCAGCTGAAGAAAGTTCACGTCTGAGTTGCCTTAAAGGTAGATTTCCTGCAGGTGCAGTGCGTTTCTTGGTTACACCGATGCACAACATTTGCTCGCGCAAGTATTGACCTGTCCTTGGACTTAGTAAAGTTTCATCGGAAGGTAAGTAAAAAAATAAAGAGGAAAGATAAACTATCTTCCCTAGTTCCTTGTGCTATCTGCTTAGATAGTGCTGAAAACAACTTTTAAATTACTTTGGTTTGTTTATTGTAGAATGGGCTAATGAAAAACCTCTAAGTGGTCAAGAGTTTTTGGTTGCCACTCTCTCAGAGACCAGCTGCTTGTAGCATGGTTACAAAATGGAAAGCAGCAAGTCCTCCTGACTGTATTGTTTGCACAGGCCGGCAACGCTGCCTGTGGTTGTTAGCACTGTGGGGTTTCTTTCGGATTTTTTACTTTCTTCCCTAGATTGCAAGTAGAAACCCTTCGACAAGTGCAAAAGTTGAAGTATTGTGCTGTTCTAAAAAAAATATTTGGACCAAAAAACATTCCCGTGTGTGCTGTAGCCCCCCTTCTTTACTCACAAACACCAGAGATCGTGGGATTTACACCAGGGTGTATTCGTATCTAGTGCCAGCACAGGGGTGGCCCGATAGTTTTCCGAGGGACCGTTTCTCACAGAAAATACAGTTCTCATATTTTGAAAAACGTGGGAATGAATGTCGCCAGGTGCACACAAGCGATTCAGCTTGCCTTTTTCAGCAGTCTGTGAGCACTACGCTCCAGCTCTTCAGCAGTGGGATTTGGCTTAGCCCCAGTTAACTTGAGCAGAGGCCTGCCAAGTGGCATCAGCCAAAGAGCTGGCTGCGTGTCTCGGACAGACACGCTGCAAGCATGTCTGTGGGTTTTTTTTTGCACAGGAGGCTGTAGCGAGGTATTCTAAACAGGGATATAAAAAAAAAATAATTTAAGCTGTATTTTTTAATGATCTCTAATATGGAGCTGTTTAGTTTGAATGCTGACTCTAGGGCATTCAGGACCTGATTTCTTCAGAGAGACTGAGTAAGTGTGGTTTCAATTGATATTTTCCACGCTTAGTATTCAGAAAAACAGCTCCCAGAGTCTCACATTGCATACCTGATACAGCGGCTGCTTTTCAGTGCTTGAATGGCTGGCTTGGTATCCCAACCTTTTTGTCTGTGTCAATGTATGGGAAAACTCATACCTGCATCCCTAGCACCCGCGGTGTATCTGTGCAGTTAAGAAGAGAGAAAAAATCTATACAGGGCCTGTAGTTCAGGATGTTCCTGATTACAAAAGGATCTCCTAAGTGGGTAAATGTCACACTTCCTGTGTGCTCAGGTGATATAGGATAGAGAGGGAGAAATACCTGAGCTTCACGTTTCATTTAATTGTTCCTTTCTCAAGATCAGCAACTTTCAGGAGACAGGTAACAGCAGAAACCTCTGCAGTCACTTCGATCTGGCTGTTTTAGCAAAGCAGCATCCTCAGAGGATAGCGTGGGGCCCGAGAGGTTAAGCTATCCGGCGCTGCCTGCTTGCTTTTGTTCACAAAGCAAAAGCTGTGGTGTCCTCTCAGTAACAGTCTTCTGTCAGAGCTGGGAACTCTGCTGGAGACCTCATTCCCTGACTCAAGTACTTCTAAAATGTCTGGAATAAAAAAAAATGGTTAAAAGGAAGGAGGCCCCTAAGCAAGCAGGGTCAGATTTTCCTCGTCAAGCTTGAGCTAGTGAATTTGCCAGCTGGATGGAAAAGGCTAAATATTTTCCTGCTACACCTACACTGGAGGCCTCTGCGGATGTGCAGATGGCCAGGCACTTCAGAGTCCAGCCAAGGGAGCGTGTGCCAGCGCTTAGGGGTTTAACAAAAATATGGAACGGGCCCTGTAGGCTGATGTCAGCAGCCGGCATCGCAAATCTGGGTGCCCGGAGATGTGGAAGAGCCAAGCCTGGGAAGATTATTGGGACATAGACCTTGCAATGGATGGTATTTCGTGATAGGAAATGCATGATGATGAAGAGATGACCATCTTCTCTAAATACTGCTGACAAGAGACAAAAGCTGCCTCAAGAAAAGGGTAGTGTTGGCACCAAAAAATAAAAATAAAATAGCTATAGACTGGCTGTTTAGTCAGGACATTTCTAACAAGCTCCCAGAAGAGCATTTCAGTCAAAGGAATGGGGAAAAATGGAATTGTTTTCAAAATAGGCTTTCATTGGCCTGTGAAAGGGTTATGTGAAGTGTTTGTCAGCACTAATAGAGGAATGAATGCTCGGGAAGTCCCCTCTGGTAGTACGTTCCCAGGGTTTATCCTGACACACCTACACAGAGCTCAGGGATTTAAGGGCACCAAAACATTGCTGTTCCTCTGGAAACTACCCCATGAGAGAAGTGGAAGAGGTGAGAGAACTCATGACTGACAGGAGGGTGCATCTGATAGCCATGGGTCTTGCAGAAACACGGCGCTGAGGAACCCTTGTGGACAAAGCGATTTATGACTCACGTGCTTAAGACACAATCTTTCCACATGGGGTCCCTTCCACTCCCCATAGGGAGCTCCTGTGCTTCACTGCTCCCATTCCTCTGGAAGAGCATCCTCTGAAATCAGATTTTCTGGCACACAAATGCCGATGCCATTTAATTTATAAAAGCAGCAGCGCATTTTGTTGTGCTCGTTTCAGGCAAAACTCAAGTGTCGTACAGTCACATGTGTTGGTGGTGGATGAGAGCTCTCAATGCCATGCTGGATTTCTGCAGCTCACTTACATGATATCTGCCAAATTGCAGGCAGGAAATTTCGGAATTAATGACAAATATTTCCCAACAGTCGTTAGTTAAGTGCCTGCACATGTTAAATTAACCATAAGAATCTTGTCGTAGTCATCAATTAATAACTTGCATCCCATCAGGCGTTCGGTGTTGAAGTGAAATGTTTGTGAAGTATTCGAGGAAAGGAGCCCAAAGAGACAAATGGGACAAGTTCCCAAATTTTTGGATTGGTTTGGGGTTTCTGCCTGTTGTAAGCACCATTTTCAGGTCCCTGTGTAGCCTTTGGGTCTCCCTTGGCACAGGGGTACGGAGTGGGGACGGGAAGGCAGAGCACCTCCGTGTGAACACCAGGGTGGTGCTCTTCAGTGCCATCCTTCCCCATACTTCCCACAATCTCCTGGCTTTGATCTGCATTTAACATTTTTGCTTGTATTCCTCTGAGTGTCCTGCACATGTGCTCCCTGGCGCTGGTCCTGGATAATCGGGCACGTCCAGGGACTTGTGTGGATAGAGACAGCTCTGGACTTCCACGAGGTAACAGTAAAACCTGTTAAGCCCCACCAAAGGAATGCAAAGTTCGCATCAGCTGAGCAGGACTAAATTAGGAGGAGTCAAAAGGTGCTGGAGGAGCTCGTTGCCATCTATCAGCCTGCCTCCTGCACCTCTTCTGAGGGAGCCTTGTGCAGCAGGCAGGCGAGGGGCCGCTCGCGTGGCCAGTGGGGTTCATTGGCAGAGGAATGTGGAATGTGTTTACCAGGTAGCGGTTATCACGGAAATATGTGAGCACCATCGCCCGGGGAAATTTTGGAGGATTGAGCCTGCGCTGAGTGTGGCCGTCCCTCTCGGACAGCCCCGTGTGGACCTTGGGGAAGGCACCGGCCTCTCAGCCCGCAGCCAGGGCCTGGCAGAGGGGCGAAGCAGGGCAGGATGCTGCCCTTCCTCGCCGCCTCCTGTTGCCATCCCCACTGTTCCTTGCTGCTGGGATGACCCCGGAGAGGGACAGAGGGACAGTTCGGTGGCCCGGAGGCATGGCTGCTTTCTACCGTTGCATCCGAGGGGACTCCAGGTGAGAGCACGGCCGCGGCCGGGCTGCCCCGAAGCAGCACCGGGGGTCGCTGAGGACTGGGGACCCCGATGGGACCTTTCTGCAGCACTCCTGGGGGTCAGGCTGCTCGTGGCTGGCTCATCTCGGACAGTGGGCTGGCGTGTGTCTGCCTAGAGGGGCTCAGGATTCCTTTAGGATATTTAATTAATTCTCCCCACATTCCCTAGCTTCTTTTTGTCCTTTACTGTAAATATTTAATGTTAACTCCATTTAGCACCCGGTGCTTAAGCGATCACAGTGCTTATTTCATCCCTCCAGCACAGGAATGCTGGAGGAACCCCATACAGCGCGTCCTGGTCTCTTTGTTTCCTGCACTTTTACCTGTGTTCGGCCAAACCATGCTCTATTTTTCGTTGCATATATATCTGGGATATTGCTGTGTTCTGCCTTCAGGTGAAAAGACTCGTCCTTAACTTCTGAGGAGACGACAGGAGCATTGGAATAAAGCTGCTGACTACCTCACAGTTATGTAGCCGAGGGTAAACAGGCAAGGCATTATAGATGGGCTCTGAAGGGACAAAAACGGGGCCGCGTTCAGATCCGATGTTCGCAGTTGTAATTGACTTCATTGTCTGGGCAGCTTGGCCCGCTTGGAGTTGTGCTCTGAATAGCAGAGAAAGCTGCATAAGGATCTCATTTTGGTTAGTACTAAAGCCTCTCCGCATCCCAAGCTCCCATTAACCTCCGCACTCCACAAGAGCCTGCTTACATTAGCCTAATTGATGGGGCTGCAGGTGTAAGAGCCTGCAGTTCCTCGGGGCTCGCTGTGCTTCCTGGCCAGGCTCTTTCTTTCTCTGCCACACAGTGTGTGTGTGCGTGTATGTATGGGGACGATTTATTGTAGGTACGGCTCCAAAAAGCACGGGGGGATCAATGAAAGCCCTGTTACGTTTCGCTGAGTCTAAACCCACGGAGACCTCAGAACGACGTTGATTTCTGTGCTCCCTCTGAATACCAAACGACCTTGTGTAATTATTTTTGTGAAATAGCTTCAGGAATGTTCCTGGTGCTGAATTGAAGAATAATTGCGATTGTGGCGTGTAGAATCAAACGTAATTTTGTTCTAACTAAAGCAAGACATTTTGCTTTCTTTTCTATTGCTGTTCAAGGAGAGGCAGGGTGAATTTTTAATGCTTTTCTGACCCTTGACTCTCAGCGATGTTAGCCCGCTACTGTACAAAAAGGATGAGCTCCTTCAGAACATCATTAGCCAAAGCGTGCGCGCTTGATCCTATTGAAGTTCAGCATAGAGACTGTGCTGCCATCACTGGAACGGCTGCTCCAAGCCCCAAACTCCAGTAGTTTGCTGAGCTGTTTGTGCTTTTAAATACAGCAGAGGATCTCTGGTAGGGAGCCAGCTGGGGGAGGTCTCGGGTCTTTGTGCAGAACAGCTACACTTCTATTATCCCGGTAGGCTGAGAGAGAAGAAGGAGAGTCAATGTGCTTTTATTACTCCAAGTGTTCTTTTAATAACGCTTTCCACGGTGGTGGAACAGCTCTCCCGGGCTGTCTGTTAAATCACAAAAAATATGAGCCTTCCATTGAAAGGAAGAAAGGAGGTGCTTTTACATAGCAATAATGCATTTCACATGAGTTTGTTCTATTCTCTTGCCAATGTAAACTTTTTTTTTTCCTGTTTTTAATTCTTTTATGTGGATGTTTGATTTGCGTTTGTTTTTTTTTTTTGTTTAAAGAAAGCGTACAAGCTAAGGCTTTTCCCATGAGCACAACGTGACCTTTGACAAGGTGTTTACCCCTCAGTTACTGAGCTGTGCTAGGGACGAGGAGCTCTCATCACCTTTCCGGGGCATAATCTGTTCCCTGTAGCAGGAAAAAGTCCTGGGCGATCGCGGTGACCTCCTTCCTTCTGACCTCACAGGTTTGTGTATCTCGTTGCAGCACGCTTTTCTAAAAAAAAAAGCAACCAAAAAGCTTGCTCTTCACTAGCTGCTTGGGAGGAAAGTTTATTTTATGTGCTATTTGTCTTCTAGCCTCCTGCTTTCATGCAGAAAATACAGGGGAAGGGAGGTCTATCAATTCTTGAAAAATAAACAGGTAGAGAGAGCAGATTTTTTCCCCTGTTCCTTGGAAATGCTGTGTTTGTAATAGAGAAAGGAATGTGCTGCTGGCATGGGGCACAGCAGAAGGCTTGCAGAGGATCTGCACGGTCTGTGGAAACAAATACAAATGCACCAGAAATGAGTTTGGACTGCTAGGGGAAGGAACAAGTGGCCGGGCACTATGCAGACTTTCGGGTAACATGAGAGCATGCTTCAAGGAGCTGGAAGAAATGTCAGCCCTGTTCACCGAGCCTTTCATTGACCAACAGTGCAGATTAAAGAAATAAATTGCTGAAGATGCCGTCCCTTTGGGCATCCATAAAAAACCTGGGTGCTAGCAGCATCCTCACTGATACATAAAAAACACTCATGTATATAAAAAGTGACAGGCTGCTTGGTCTTCTTGGTTTGGCATAAAGGTTGGACTGGATGGTCTTAGAGGTCTTTTCCAAGCTGAATGATTCTATGAGTCTGTGATTCTGTAAAGTTTGTCTTTGGTATGTTATCTGGGTGTAACAAAGGGAAATGTGGTTTTCTCAAAACAAACAAACAGGTCTGCTCTGGGTAAATTATTTTTAGGGCATCACCCATTCAAAGAGGATGGGAATGGAGCTGGAATACATGCAGATGCTGTTATAGGTGCTGGCATGCAGTGGAAAGTGAAGGTGGCCTTTTGGTCACAGCGACAGTGCCTGGGACTCCTGACAAAGCGCCTGGGATGACCGTGCACATGTAAGCATGTTTTCGAGTGCAGCTGTGCATTTGATTTAAAAGTCAGAGGCTAAATGAGAAGTGAAATTTGTGCTCCTTTGGCATCAAGAGAGGTCTGGAGCAGGGAAGTGCACGGCTTTGGAAATGGGGAAATGATTTGCAGTTGTTATCAACTTCTCACATCCCTTTCTGCATGCTTCTTGGATGCGTTTATATGAACAAATGGGATTTCCAGAGAACTGTACCTCGCTCACATGGATGCTGCTGGCACCTGGGCTGTGTGCCCAGTGCTGGCTCAGGTGCAACACTGCTCTGCGCTTCCCACACCTCCTCTTGCAGAAGGAGGGGACCAGGGCAGGGAGAAGAGGTTTCTCTTAATAATGAACTCAAGATGATGGATGACTTCTGGAGAAGATTTTATAATTAGGCATGCTCTGAGAGATTTACTTTGGGGTAGGTTCAAGCTTTACCAGCTGGGAGCACAGACTGTGGTTTGGGAACTTGAAGTGGGGTGATGTTGGGGTCTGTATGAGCAGGAAGGGGTCTGAGCAATGAGGCATGTTGAACAGCAGGGTTTTTGTGCTTGGTGGATACAGATTGTGATCTGGGAGAGCATCCACATAGTGCCTTGGCCAATCCCATGTGCCAGAGATGTGGAGCATCTCCAGAGGTATGGAAGCTCTGCTGCTGTGGCTAAATCCACAATGCTGTGTAAAACCAGTAGACATTTCAGTGCATATCATGGTATTGCAGAGAGGAGAGGGCAGGTCTTCCTCTCGTGTGAATGATTTCCCTAAATTCGTATGTTTAAAATCACTTTACTTGCTGATGTTTCTTTGCCTACGGGCGAGCAAATGTTCTTGAACAGCACTGGAATAAAAGGTGCAAATTGCTGCCGTTTGGTTCAGCTGTGCTTTTTCAATACTTACTTTTGAGTGCATTGACATTTGGGAGGGGTAAGGAAGGGAATGAGCACCCATTGTGTGGCCATATTCCCTCTTTCCCTGCACTCATGTATTCTCAGCTGTGTTTCCTCTCTTGTAGCTCATATTAAAAGGCCATGGGAAGGAAGGAGGAAAATGGAAAAACAGTCTCTGCTGGGAAAAGTCCCATACAGAAAATATACTATTATAGGCTTGGGTTACACTTAGCAGTTTGTCATCAGACATTTTGGCCTGATAAATCTTGTAATAAATTGACAAACCAGGTATCTCTGATATCCCAGTGTGAAAAGACCCATACATGAATCCTGAAGGGAAACAAAAAAAGAGAAAAAGTGCAGCTGCCAGTAGCATGGTAAATCTCGCCCTTGCTAAAAGAGGAGAAGGAAAGCAGACAGCTCCTGTAGGATGTGAGCTCCACTGAGTCTTCAGAGCAGGGTAGGATTGAAGTTAGCCCTTGGAGTCCTGCAGGTCCGTGAAGAAACTGGAGGTGAGCAGGCTGGGCCATCCTGCTCCCCTCCATCAGCCGTGCATGTGGGTGCTGATCCGAGGCGTGTAGGCAGTGTCAGCACAACTATCAAGTCACAGATGTAACAGGCATCATAGGTCTCAAGTGAAGCTTTGAAGAAGATAACGTTAAACAATTAAATCTCCTTATGTCAGGGACATGACAGGCAGTTATGGTCATACTGAGGTGGACCTTTGGCCTCTTGGTGTTTTTTTTCCTCTCACAAGTACCGTGCTTTAACTGAGTCTTTCCTCTGGTGCATTAGGGTTTGTTATGGACGCTGAGGAAAAAGTGTGAGAGCTTGAAAATATGCCTCAATGGACTGTTAAAATAATTTATTCTGAAGGAAAAGAAGGGGAGATATAGACAGAAGAGCTCTCCAAGTTCATGTATTTGGGAAAAAAAAATAGAATTTTCTTTCGTGCTGGGTGGTAAACAGGTGAAAAACAGTGTTTCTCTAACAGTGTGCCACAGAGGAAGAGGGAAAAGCAGCTTCCCCCCATGTCAATAAAAATGCCACCATCCATTTTAAGGCAGAAATCAATGTAATTGCCTAATTGTAATTGCCTAATGCTGGGTTTGGTGGGACACTGAGCCGGACAGCCCCCTCCTCACAGGGCGGTCTGACGGCGCACCGCGTCGCCTCATGGCTTCGGTGGAAACCGTAACTCAGCAAAACACTGAAGTTTCTGCTCAACTATTTACTTAAAACCAAGGTTGGCCAAAATGATGGCTTCCGAGTGTACTTCCAAAAGCCTGGCCACCAGCATCCCACCCTGCCCACGTCCCTCTGTGAGCTGCGTAGCTCCCCTCCACCAGCTGAAGAAGAAGAGGACGCCCTTTCGTCTCGTGGCGTCAAACAGGCCTCTCCTTGGTAACGGCGGCCATAAAACTCCTCCCAGATCCTTGAGGCTCAGTCACGGGCGCCCAGCCACGCCTGGCCGGCCGGGGCACAAGCCATGTGTTTCCACAACATAGCAACTGTGGTGAGGGCTCACAGCCTCCTGCGCCGCCGGCACCGCGCTCCATCGATGAACCAGCATCGGCCTGGGAGGAGGCAGCCAGGTTGCCAGCCCCGGATCCAGCCTGGGGACTTTCCTTTAAAACTATAAACTATATAAACTATAGCTGAGATACAGCTGCCTACAACGGAGAGGATGGGTCTTCTCCCAATGTCCAGGCCCAGGACACTTTTTAGGAGGACACACTGAGTAATAAATGTTTCATTTCCATTTCACTCACTCTTGGAATTTATGAGCCTCGTTACTTAAGCCTGCTCTTATTTCAGGGGATCGAAATAGCCGTGGTGTACTTGTGCTCTGGTCTAGGTTCTGGTGTGAGCATCTGTCACCAGCACAACCCCAAGAGGTCCTCTACGGTATTTAGGTCACCCTCCAGTGAATGGCATCCATGACTTTATTCTGACTGAACCATGAAATCATGGTTTTCCAGATGGAGAAAAGAGAGCACAAACTGACTACTGCACTGAAAATGCAGTTTAAATTACAGATATTCTGCTCTCAGGCTTGGGACATGTACAATTTTGGATGTATTTTTTAATTTTAATTTTATTTTGCTTCAAAAAACCAAAGAAGAAAATTTATTTTTTTATTTGTATATTTTTTTCTGCATGAACAAAGGAGTAAATAGAATGGTTACCTTTTCACAAGGGGTTTAAAAAAGAAGAAACACTAGAATACTTCAAGTTAAATATAAACAAAAGAATGCATGCAGTTCCTTACAAAGGTTACTGAGACGTGGTACCCAAATGCTGTAATTATCATAAAGACATTGTCTGTGGTCCTGAATAGGAGAAGAGAGGGAAACTTGGAGAAGCAAACTTCTGATGCACACTTTCAGAAGCATTCAAGAACTTCATTACACTCAGTTTTCAGTAAGGAGAGGCGAGCTGATTAACTGAACTGTAATGTGCCATCACCTTATTAAGTGGAAATAGCTGTGAAACTATTATACTGTAGCCTAAGAAGTTTCATCCTGTGGAATATTTTCATATTGTTTATGTATTTGTAAATATAATACATGTATTTAGACATATATTGCTTATGTATTTATGTACGTTACATTTTTATATCTTTATATTTTAGTATCTTGCTTGTGCGTGTTGAAGTATTGTTATCTCATTGATATGACAGACACTTTTTCTATCTCCTTTAGTGAAAGTCACATGAGTTCCTCAAGGATAATGGACCCGAAGGTGCGAGAGACCGAAGGATATGGAGAAGACAGTTCAGGTAGAATTGCTCCCTTCCTTGGTGAATGAAAAGTGCTGTAGCTTCTTGAGCTTTAGTGCCTTATCTCTGCCACAGAAGTGAATCTGTTTATTTAAAGAATGTATTCTCTATTTCTCTCATTCTGTCTCCAAGACCTGTTGCAGCTTTGACATTTCTAGAGGCTTGAAGTAAAATTTTTGTAGCATCTTTTAAAAATTACTTTTTTACCCAATAAGATCTGTCAATAACTGAAACACAGACAGGGATGCTTTCCAGTGCTGTCATCCCATCATATACAGGACGGGCACAAGTTGTTGGGATGTGCAAAACCCTGATTTCATTTTAAGTACTTTTCTTCATGGATCTTGGAACTGATCCTAATTTAGGTCTTTCCTCATTGAGCAGACTAACATTACCTTTCAAGATTACTGCTTGATTTCTATTTTAATACTTTATCATCCATTGAGACTCATAATTAGCATTCAAAACATTCTGGGATGTATTATAAAACTGACATTATAAAAGCATTAGCCTCCCGACACTGCACATTCCACCTAAGTAAGCTATTTCTACATTTAAATTGGTTTTGGTAACAGCATTGTCCTTATCATCACTGTTTAGCTTGCTGAACAAAGGCAGTGTGTTTCTGAGTTGTAATTTCTTCTCCATATCCCAGGCTGTTAATACCAAAGTTTTTCTTCATAGTCTAATTATCTCAAGAGGCAAGTAGAAACTCTATTAGGAAAGATCCTACACTGTAGGTTATTTTTGTGTCATAAACATTGCAATCCATTCTCCAGGATAATAGTAATTTCATGCTATCAGTATAGCCTTGAAAGATATTAATGCAAGAGCGGACTGTGTTGCCTCTTCCATGAAAAAATCCACTTATGAAGAAATGATCTGGGACGTGTTATTGTTCCAAAAGCTTGCAAATGCTGCTGGTTGCATCTTCTTTATTTTTCTTCACTTAGGAAAGAAAAAATCGAAGTTCAAATCTTTCAAAAAGTTTTTTGGTAAAAAGAAAAGGAAAGAAACATCTTCTGGGAGCAGCAGTCTGAAGCTATTCCAGTCAACAAGTGATGTGGCAGCCTCACACAACGCGCATGTTAGTTATTATTCAGAAGATGAAGTTGAGTAAGTCTTTGGACTGTGTCTAGTAAACAAATACAGAGCTGCTATGATGTTTATAGATTAAAGATACCCTGAATTGCTTACTCCTTTTGTTTAGAAAGGCAGCACTCTCAAACAGTTGCCTTTTTAAGGAAAGCACAAATTAAAATGCCTGACGCAAGGCAAATCACAAGTGGATGGGATGCAGCAATAACTAATAACTAGTAACTAAAAAAGCTATTGTTTAAGCATAAGTAAACCTTGGGTTATCATTTCTAAACAGTGTAGTTCTCATCTTCAAAAATGGAATGAGGTGCTCAGTTTAAATTTTATCAGAGTTGTCTTATGCCCCTAAGACACATCTCTTATGGGTTGTTAAAAAGATGCCTGGTCATCACTCTGATGACCCATGCTCTAGAATTGCCTGTTTCTCCTCACCAAGTGTAAGTGGGAGCCTGGGGTGACCAGCTCCAATGTAGTGTTTGCGGTTAGATGAGGTGAATCCCAGTCTGCAGATCTGGATGCCTCTGAACATCCTGTCTTCATGCAGGCATTCCCAAAAATGCTATCCATTAGTTTTCGTCCAAGAAGTAACCATGAGAAACACGGTACAAAGTCCAAAGGTGTTCCTGGATGGACAGGTGGACCTGCGCTCCTGGGTGAAGTGCAGCCAAGAGCTGCTGCTGTGCAGAGGCACTAGAAAGGCGAACCCATCCCGTCCACTTGGAACGACGCTGCACGATACAGCCACTAGGCAGCGCCAAACAACTGAAAGAAATTATTCACAAATCTCTGTAGCGTTGGCAAGAGTTGTGTCAGTCCAGCTTGAAGCCCCAGGAGTTCCGGGCTGGCAGCGTCAGGTCTAGCAGTGGGCGATAGCATTTTTGTTCAACAACATATTTTTAAGAGGAGGAGTGGTGAGATTTTTTATCCCTCATGCGCTACTCAACAAGGTCATGACCTAGTGGGTACAATGTTTGGCTGGCTCAGCTGTGTTCCCTTGCCATGACTCGCAGGGTTGTAAAATCATTGTTTCTTCACATTTGTTTAAGTAAACAAAGACCAGAAAATACCTTGAAAGGAAAGAAAATTAAATAGAGCACTCATAATCTGAGATGTTTAGGAAACCTCTGCTACACGTCCAAGGGGTACGTGTCTACTCACTGAAAGAGAAAGCAAAGGTAGCACGCAGGGCTAAATGTGCACGTGTAACAACACTGCTTAGCTGGCTGCTGTTCAGCCTTTGTAAGATGTCGGTGCATTAAGCAGCCATCCCAGCCCTGACTGGCACTTTCCCTGCAAATTGGTAGAGATCTCTGACCTTGGATGCTTTGCAGAGATCACATTTTCATGTAGATAAAGTGTTCTTCTAATGTCTAATGCATTAAGCTGAAGCAGCAGGCTTTCCTTCCTTCTGCAGCAGTCATACAGATTAACTTTTTCCTGCAATTGTGTTATCAAACATATTTATAGCAGCTATTACAAGGAAAATGTTACTTTTTGCCATGTTTGTTTTTGTTTCTGAATGTCTCTAAGAGAGTATCTAAGATCCAAAAATACGCATTGCTATTTCTTTTTATAGACAGTCTGTTCAATTAATTTGGTAGTTACTTGAATCCGAGCAGTCATGTATTCTGGTTTGCCATTTCCCATTTTAAAAAAATAAAAATAAAAGAAAGGAGTCCTAGAAGAAATGCCTTGTGCACACATTTCTGGTCCCTGCTCAGCTGTGCTATGAGCTAAGCAGAGGAAAATCAGCACAAGAGACCTCCTAGCAGCTAGCTGTCTGTCCATGTGCCTCCCTACTGTTCCCGTGAGGAAACAAGGTTTTCATTCCCCACACGTAACATTTTCAAAAGACCTTACATGCTGCAAGCATCAAAGGTAGGAATCGCAATAAGAGAGAAGCTTTCTTCTGCTTCCTATCGCCAGCCAACGAAGTGTCCGTGAAAAAATGTGTCCCCAGGCTCCTCAGGGAAAATCCCAAGGACCTTGGCATAGGGCACAGGACCTCGCAAGGATTTTATGTAAATGGTCTTAGGTGAGACCTGTATCCCCTGCAACATTTTTGTTAATGACCTGGATAGCAGGGATACGCAGTAAATGTTCTACTATGCTTACATAGTGAAAGGTACTATTTATTTTTCACAGCTCAGTTGCTGGGGTTAAACCCTCTCCAACCTTGATTTGGTTTGCCAACACGACAGATACTGACACTTGCATAGTTGGGTTGGTTTTGTGCTATGTAGATTCGCCTCAGTGACAATATATTGCATTCATGGAGAAGTTTAGAGTCTCAGGTGTGATGTGTGCCTTACACATCTATCTTCCACCCCAAAATACCACCAGAGTTAAGAATAACAGGACTGGCAAAAGAAACCTGTGTGCATTTGCTTGTTTGCTGTGTTATTCTAGGAGCCACAAGGGCGTTATGGGAAGCAGAGCTTTGTCGCACGACAGCATTTTCATCCCTGAGACCGGGCAAGAGCCTGCAAGGCCAGTAAGAGTGTTTTCTCAAGAAAATGTTTCTGATCGGATTAGAGCCCTACAGGTAATTTACACAACATATTGTTTTTAAATGCAAGAGGTGGAATGTCTTCCCAGGCTTGATTTTTTGATGATATTTGTAGTTGAGTATTTGATCAGCAAGTAATATCTGTCTGCAGCTTCCATTAAGTGTTGCTTTTATTAATTAGACAGCAGTATCTTACCTTGGTTCTACTTAAAAGGTATTTGGAAAATGGATAGGTTGTGTGGCCCCCTAACAGAACCTCTAAAGTGAGGTGTCCTGTGTTCTGGGTCATTCAACTGCGAAGCTAAAATAAAGGTAACTCATTGATCTGAACTAAAAAATGGACTGGGGAAACCTCCCTCATTATCACACGCTAATGTACATTGCACTGTGCTAAAGATGAAGCTCCAGCCTACCATGAAGCTGGGACCTCCGCCGCCATTTGGATTTCATGCAAAGCGGACAGAGGATGCTGGGACCAGTTCTGAAGACGATGGGTTACCCAGGAGCCCTCCAGAAATGTCTTTGCTCCATGAAGTCCTAAGTTCAGGCACAACAACAAGAGTGAGTAGTTCTGGTGTTGACAAAAATCAGTGTTTAATTGCTTGTTTTACCTATGTGTGGGAGGCAGAATAAATTACTTGGTTTGTAGTATGTATCACTGCTTTACCTCTGAACAATTCAGAAATACCTTACTTGAGGTGGAAAAATGCTATCTATCTGTGTAAACAATCTCTGTTCCTGTTGAAGTATAAATATAATTCCAGAAAATGCAGAACTGGGAAAGAGAGAGTGTGTTTCTTTGCATGCATGGGGATGCTCATTTTTTTTAGGGACTACAGAGAGCTGCAAGGCATAAAAAATAGTCTGTAAAATCTGTATGCTCCCTTGAATGTGCTGATAAGAGAGTTCTCTTAATGTTTTTCTAGTCTGTCTCGGGAAAAAGAAACATAAAAGAATTTGAAACTGTTTTTTTTTCTTTTTAAATGATAGTTTTGTTGTACAAAATTTCATTCTTTATCTGCATGTCTTATACTTTATGTTTGTAGTATCCTTGCTAATCCTTAAGACTACAGATAAGAACAACTTACATTGTCAGCATCTGTGTGCACTTTGCGTAGATGGTTTCTGCTGGTGTATCCATCTCATGTGTCGTCTCTGACTGAATCTCTTCCTCATTCCATCCCACAGTTCTCTGACTCTCACAAGCACCTTAGCTCTTTGAGTTTAGCTGGAACAGGCAGTGAAGAAGAAGAACAGGTAACTTCTGCCAAATGTATTAAGGGCCAAGCAATTATGTACGTTAGTCCTTTAATGAAACGCGAGGCATAAATATTACTTTGTTGTCTGCCTGCTACGAAAGCAGCCTTGAATGTGTGTAGTTGCATGTCTGTCTGTTTTGCCTTTATAATGCTTGTCCTCCTAATGTAAAGTTATGATTATTTATCAACATTATTCTGACGCCAAGTAAGCTCCCGTTAACTATAATTATGCCCTCTAAAATAGCTCGTATCCTTTAGCGAAATTCACAGGCATGATTTAATCTCCAGAAACAATTAACCAGATTTTGACATCAAAATTGTATCCCTTTTTTTAAAGATGGGAAATTGCAGTGAAGGTTGGTTAGGTTACATGCATAGGACAAGGGAGAAGGCTCATGGAGGGGCCATGAACAATATTTAGATCCTCTGAAACCTGCCCAGACCCTTGCTTTAAACGCAAAATCAGCTCACACTGATGCAGAAGCAGTTCTCCTGGTGACAGTGGCCGACATTGCTGCTTAGGAGAGTGAGGTTCAGTCTTCAGCCAGATTCTGGCCACGTGAGCCGGCGCGAGCTGTGAATTCTGCTGAAGGGATGTTTTCAGGACTTGAGTACAAGCAAATAGATGGCTTTCTTCAATCAGCAGTCAGATGTTCTGGCTGATTAAAGAGCTGTTTTGAAAGGCTCTAAAGAGTCCCTTTTAGATGTCCGCAGCTGGAGACATGGTAGAAACAACACAGGGGGTAAAGGGGAAAGTGTTTGCTAGAAATAGGAGGGATGGAAGGGAATTGCGGAAGGGAAATAGAAAAGCTAGTCCTGAGCTGACTATTCCTTGGTAATTATGCAAAAATGTATTTTAAGGCCAGCTGCAACAGGGCTCAGCAAAGATTTCTGGCCTCGCTTGTTCGATTCCACATGAAACTGTTTGAAAAACTGCTTATACGCAGCAAAACGCCAATATTTTCAAAGGAAAAAAAAAAAGAAAAGGAACATGTGAAGAAGGTATTTCTTGAAAGCCGGTGCAGGCAGCCTGTAAATATATTGTCCAGCCCGGATGCGTGTTGGCTGAGGGAGGATTTATGTCTCCCCGTGGCTCCATTAACATCACTCTCTGACTCACTCGCTGACTCCCGAGGCGCTGCGGTGACACTGCGGTTGCTCAGCTTTTTCCACATGCCCCATCACTTAGCTCAGCGCCCTCCTCGTCCCTGTCTGGGAGAGAGGAGCTTCAGAGAGCTTAGCCCTGCTCCTGCAAGGCGGAGGAGGAGACCAGCTCGCAGAGGTGAGGAGCTCTGCCCAATGTAACACTGAGGTTTTGGGCGGCAGCGACACCCTGTTGTGTCTTAGAAGCCTTCCTGGCTCGGAGAAGGGAGAAAGATCACACCGACCCCATCCCTTTTGGGATGGAGCTCTTCGCCATTCCTCACCTTGTGCTACCAGCTGAAGGACAGCTGAGCCACGTGAGCGTGAGGTTTTGGGGATCTTCTAGCCCCCTCTTCTCCGTCAGGCTTGGCCAGAGCCAGGCTTCCTGAGAGAGGCGGCTTTTGCAGCCGGCTCAGAGCTGGCGTTCACTCGGGCTGCTGAAACAGAAGAGGAGTAGCGAAGCAGATTCTCAGTTTTCCAGTGTAATGGCCAACGCCGAGCACTGCCAAGGAGAAGACATGCAAGTTGTCGAGGAAAAGCGGTAGCCAAAAAAAAAAAAAAAAAAAGAAAAAGGCAGGCAAATAATGACATGAAAGAGAACATGTGCTGTGTCTTTGTCATGGAGCTGAAATGTCAATGTATTCACTGCGAGGTACTAACGTGTGATGCAGCCAAGTATCATTTGTTGCACATTAGTCATGTTCCAGTGCTACAATGCAGATATCGCAGAGTGGAAATTAATGAGAGCATCCATTATTCAGCATGGCTGAGGTGCTTTTTTTTTGGTAATAGAAAGCATGATCGGAAGCTGTGGATCCAGCATCCACTAAAATCAATGGGAGTTTTCCCCTGACCATTGAGGAAGCTGTAGCAGGCCCAAGCTGTACTACAGCTTGTCTTTTAGCTGCAGAGCACACTGGCAGAAAATGCTGATGCTTTTCGCCCTCCCTAAATAAAATCACCACAATGCTGCTCTCCCTTTTTCCCCTTCAATAAAAAAACACTTGCAGAGCCTTCCAGAACAAAGTGTGACGAGGGAGGAGACCTCTTCTGATGAAATGAGCTGGAATTTCAAGCCTACAAAGGGAGACTTACCAAGAGGTGTCAGAGGTTATGTTAATGTTATGACAGATAGGTTAGAAATATCGTTTTGCCTGTTTGCACAAACTGAAGCAGAAAGAAAGGAAGAACCCTCTTTAGAGTCATTTTTCATAATTTTTTCAGCCTCCTTTTTCTGTCAGTTTTTGGTGAAGCACTCAGGCAGGCTCAACTCCAGCTGCATGAAAGTACTGCACCCTTTGGAGCATTCAGGTTGGAAGTTCCAGGCCACTAGTAGGAATTGTCCATCAATTCCTTCCCTAGAGTAGTCTATAAATGAAATACTATACCTCAGGTAAAATCCCTGCTTATTTTACAGATGTAAGTACTTGAGGTGAAAATGCAAGCTGACGTTAGTATCAATGCCATTGATATTTGATTCTGTTTGAGGAAGGTGTTGTGGAGTTGGAAGGGACCTGATGCAGTCTAGGAAGGTAGAGATGTTCCAGCCCAGCAAAACTGTGGGTAGGAGCCTAGCAGGCAGGGATGCTGAAGGACAGACCCAGAAAGGAAACTGGCCCTTTAGGTTCTGTATAGCTGAGTGCTCTTCATAAATCTGTCTTCTAAAATGTGTTGACCGTGCATTTCTGTGCTTTACATCTTCTAGTTAAATGTGGCCTGCTCTTCCCCACTGGGCAGTAATACCATGATACTCAAGCAGCTAAAAATGCAGAATTGCTAATGCCAATGTTCCACGTACAACAATAGGAAACGCACTGTATTTTAAAAGGGCGTCAGAAAGAAAAAGAAGCAACCTTAAAATGGCAATAAACATAGCCCCTTCTTTGTAGAATTGTTATATTCGTATCTTGGTTTCTTTGTTTGATTGTCTGCTTGGGGGTTTATTTCATTTTTTAGGTTACGTTGGGTCCTCCTTCTAGACCTCGCTCTGCGGATGGTCAGCTGCTCCCTAAGCGTGGAAGTGCTAAAACTGGAACTCCCCAGACACGTGATGTTAACGTTTCACCTGCAGCTGACTTTGACACTCCACCCGAGCTATCCTCATGCTTGGATAATTCTGCTGCTAAACACAAGCTTTTAATAAAACCCCGGAACCAGAGGTCCAGTAGAATGAGAAGATTTTCTCAGGTAATTGTGAAAATAAGCCATGTCACCATTGACACGAAACTAGGAAGTTCTTGCTGGACTTTGTATTTCAGGCGCAGATATAACAAGAAAAGTCAGATTGTGGCATGGACATCTTCCTGGTTGTTAATAGCTGTTACTTGATGAGTGTTTCTGGAGCAGACAGTAGCAACAGACTAAATATTATCAGATCACTTGTCAGCTCTCTTAATGCAGCAGTTTGTGTCACAATTTCTTCTTAAATTAACCGTGCAGCACAGTTTAGTATTTTGTCTGTGATCCAGAAATTGGGGCTGACTGCTTGATTTCTTAGTTAAAAAAATGTTTAGAAGGCGTTACGTTCAACTTGTTTACTTTTCCTGGTCTGAAAGATGCTGTGAAATCTTCAGTCACTGAGACACTGCTGATGGAGGAGCTGGTTTAAATTCCCAAACGTAACAGGGCTTATATTTTCAGAAATGACAGAAATAATAAGTTGTGACCTATTAGTTGGAGCCAAGTTCTGTACATTAGAACTTCTCCCTGCCCCCAAAGCTTGTCAGCCTTTACATGCACTACAGAGATTTACAAGAAGTCTCCACAGAAAAAAAACACAACAGCATGTAACTGAAACTGTTGTTGTTTTTTAAACCATCATTATAAAGCACCATTTTTCTGATTCTGTGTTGTATCTTGGGAAGGGCATAGCTTCATTTTTCTTCTTTCTCTCCACTTTTTAGAATTAAAGTTTACAGCTCTTCTTTACAGTATTTACACTTTATTGTTTGTGGTTTCTTTCAATGTTTCCAATACATTAAAGCTGTTAAATTGGCTTGCTTAACAAAAGGAATATTATTCCCTCTGTCCTGAAATATTACTTAGCTGCTATTCTGTATTTTTCAAAATCTCTGAGTGATCTTTGGGCTTGGTAGAGCACTGCTGTGAGCAACACAATGATGAGGCCAATTATTTAGAAAAGCATATAAAGCAATAACTGTCTGATCAAACCTCTTCTCCCATTGTCATTTTATTACTGAAATACAATTGCTTTGTCCAATCTGCCTACAAACTACCAGATGATTGAGCCCTCCTGCTTTTCCATAAAGAGAGTTTCCACCTTTAGAAAATGCAGTTTTTAATATTTTCCTGCACAACTCTGCCTGTGCACTTTCCTTCTGGCTTACCAGCACCTTCTTTTACATTCCTGGGCCCTCACCGGATATGCAGCTGGCATTGCAACTTTGTTTTTGCAATTGCACTTGCAAAGCAAGAAATTGGGAGAATCCTAAAAGTATCTTCAGAATGCAAGCTTCGTGTTCTTAGGGCTGGGGCCCACATTCAAAATCCATATTTACCTAGCAGCCTACAGTGACTCAGTGAGCTCATACAAGCACCATATGAAAAAATGCATATTCAATGGTTTAATAACATGCTTTCCAGTAATCCTGTGTGTTTAGCCAGTCCTTACCTGAAGTTTAATCTCCAGACCTCACGGGTAGATACCTATGCATATATAAACTTTAATCAGATAGTGCAATTCTTGAAAGAAGAATTGTACACAAAGGAGGTGAGATTGTGCTGTATCGCAGTGCAATTGGGCAGAAGACTGCCAAGTAAGGGTAGATATTTAGCTGTCATGGTGTGTCAGAGCCTGATGGACTTCTTAGTTTTCTGCTTTTCCTTCCATGTACCCTTCCCTCTTCAGAGACTTGCTTTAGGAAGAATGGGTTGTTTTATTTTTAATGCTATTATGGAGTAGCAAAATACAAAGGGACAGATTTTCTCTTTCGAGTGCTGCTTTTTGCTGAGGAGCAGCACAACATATCCAGTATGCTCTGGGGAATCAAGTGCCAAGGACAGTCCAGTGGTCATTGTTGTGATGAACTTCCCATCTATAAGGGCATGAAAGCGCTAGTTGTGCAGAAGGAAGTGTCACTGATGGCTTTTATGCTGGTGAAATGTGTTATTCCAGGATCTGCGGAGATAAAAAAAGCCTCCAGGAGGTAGGTTAAGAAAAGAGTATGCTCAGCACTGGCGGCAAGTTTTGCCTTCCTCTGTAAGATCTTGGTTGTGAATGCCATGATAAAGAAAAAAATGTGAATCTGTACATGGTGATGGGGGCTTTCTGAATCTGTTTCTTGCAGAGGACCCAGTCTGAATCCCTGACTGATTTGAGCTGCACCCCAGAAGAAGAAGAGGATGATGAAAAGGAGGTGCAGACAGACTTGCCAGATGCCGTATTCAAACCCAGCGATCAGGAACTGCCGTGCGGCACAGCTGCAGCGCAGGATGCGGCTTCCTGGCAGAAACCCAGAGTGCCTGAGGACCTTCCCCCTGCTTTGAGACCAGAGATGACTCAGCCCACTTCTGAGCCTGCTGTTGTACAGGAAGCTCTGCTACCAGAGAATAAACCAGAGGGCTGCCAACCAACACTGGAAACAACATGTGAGAAGTCTGAGGCCCCACTGCTGTTAGAAGGCAGAGGCCCCATAACTTCTCCCTGTTCTGGCCCAGACAGAGAAGTAGAAGAGCAAGAAGATTCCCCAGGACCAGCGGTTCTCTTGTCTGGGGATGTGAGCAGTGATGTGTCAGCCCAGCAAGAAAGTGAGGAGCTTCCTTCTGTGTTTCCAGTGAATAAAAGACCATCTGAGGAAGACATCTCAATTAGTAAGAACAGTGATATTTGCTCGGAAGGGTCAGAACAAAATACACAGAGGGATGATCAGATGCCTGTGGAAATGTCCTGTAATGAAGAGGCAAAGATAGAGGCCGATGTGTTGTCAGAGCCTAGCAGGCAGCTTTTTGTAGGTTCTGCACAGCCCACGGATTCGTTCCATGTTTCACATCCCACTGCTTCAGCCCGGGTGGGATCAAACGCTTCCTGGTCTCTAGAGAAAACAAAGACTGTACAAGAAGCAGCTGCTTCTGATAAAGAGAGCAGGCAGCCGCTGGTCCACAAAGAGGAAATTTTGGGGAAGAAAGCTGAAAAAGCAGCCAGTGAACTCAACGCCTTGAGAAAGTTTTCCGTCTCCTCTGCACGGGAGAGGCCGAGGACCAGGAGCCTGCACTTCCCAGAAAGCTCGGAGTCTGACAACCCGTTAAGCACCAGGTTCTTCCTGGCCACTGCAAAGGCCTCCTTGAAAGATGAGAAGCGGAGCGAAGATTCGCAGAAGGGATCAGATCTGGAGGAGGGAAAATGTAGCCCTAAAAAACAGACTTTGCTGCCAGAATCTGGCTCTGAGAACGTGGGCCAGTGCACAGCAGCGCTAGCTGCCTGCGTGTCTCCAGCTGTCGATGCTGTTCCGGTGCAAAGGGATTCGTCTGTGGTATCTCCGAATCAGCCAAGCTGTGAAGATAAAAGTCCTTTTCAAGTAAAACTTAGATCCACCTCGATGTCCTTGAAATACAGAGACTACTGGTTACCAGAATCAAAAGAAATTAAAAGATACAGCGCAGAGTTTAATTTTGAAAACGAGGGACTGACTTCGTTTCTAAAAGGTGATAAAGCGGAGATCAGAAAACCAGCTGATACAAATATTGATGGCTCTTCAAACGAAAAGATCAAATCCAAAGCAAAGTCCTCTGAACAGCTTAGCAGCAAGCCTCCGCTGCCTAAAAAGCCAGTCTTGCAAAACATCACTGCTCCAAATGCTAATGCAAGCAAGGACAAAGCTGTTCATGCTCCCGAATCCAGAAATGAAGACAGAGACTTGGAGAAAAAGCCAAATTCTTGTAAAGTGCCTGGTAAGCCTCCTGTTACTTTATAAAGTTAGCTTAAATAATGAGCCCTGTTGTGTGACTCTTGAAATTGGTGAGCTTGAGCTGACGGCTCTGCCTTCGGTGGTGTTGCTCCCCGATTCTCTTTGTGAAAAGATTATCACAGCAGCAGGGAAGAAGCAGCAGACAGGTATTTTTACCTCTTTTTTTTTTTTTTTTTGTATTTTGAATTTTGTAGCATTGTTTAAAGGATGTTCCAAGTGACACTCACAAAAATAAGGTGCATTGGTGAGTATTGTGAAGCAGAAACACCGAGCTACCCAACGTCCCCATTCGGAGCTGCTTGATGGGAATTCAAAAGGCAGGAGCACACATGAAGTGCAGTGCTCTGTGTGGGATGAGTGACTCAGATCTGTAGACCTTCTTTCTCACCATAGTACTGAGGCAGGAATACTACTAACTGCCTGGCATGCTCAGCATGCTCTTTGTACATTGTCTCTTCTGAGCCTTGCTTATTCATTTACCCATCTTCACCATTACTCACTCCTTGTTTAGAAACAAGAATTAGCTACCCTGCGGCTCGCCGGAGTTTAAAGCCAGAAGAGACCCCAAGATCAAGTCTACTGCAGATTGTTAAATTTCACCCAGTTGTCTGTATTGTAAGCCAAAATATAATTGGGTTAGAGGAAAAAAAAATCAGTCCTCTGAAGACTAATATATTGTGTGCCACAGGCGGGGAACAGAAAAGACAGAAAGCAACACCACAATCTGAGGTCTTTGCAACCACACAGTAAACAAGCTCAGTAAAGTACGTTCAAGCAATTCGAGCAGGAAAAAAAACTCTGTTCTGACATTCAAAGAGTGGCCAAAAGGGGAAAAAAAACCCTTAGGTCTTTCAGTATATGGGAGAAACTTCTTCCCTGTGCTGAATCTGTCCAGTCACAAGTCTGATGTTCAGCATGTGGGCAGGAGACACAGAGGTTGCTTTGTGCTGCTGTAGGGCTGCCCCGCTCCGGTTGCTGTGCTCCACTGGGGGTCAGGCTCTGAGCTTCGCAGTGGGGGAAAACCAAGCCAAAAGGAGACCTCAGGACATGGCCTCAGGCCACTGGTGCTGTAGGGTGGCAGAAGCCTCTTGCTTTGAACAGCTTTGCAATGCATCCCGCTATTTCAGCATGCCAGGGCTAAGGCAGAGTTTAATTCTAAACACAAAACACTCTGCTCCAAATGGACCTGAGGTCCTTCCTAACCCACTACAGACCTTTCTGCTTAGAAATGGGATCGAGCACCTCCTTGTTTCAAGCCACCACATCAGCTGCCTGGGCACAACACCAGCTTGGGGGGCACAGGGGGCTCACACAGCAGCACCCCAGGAGAATTAGGCATTACTTCTGCAATGGGCATCTTAGAATCACAGAGTCATAAACATAAAGGTTGGAAAAGACCTCTAAGATCACCCGGTCCAGCCTTTAACCCAGCACTGCCAAGTCCAGCAGGACACCCTGAGCACCACATCTACGTGTTTCTTGAATACCTCCAGGGATGGTGACTCAACCACTTCCCTGGGCAGCCTGTTCTAATACTTCACAACTCTTTCAGTGAAGAAATTGTTCCTAATACCCACCCTAAACCTCCCCTGGCACAACTTAAGGCCATCTCCTCTTGTCTTATCACATGGGAGAAGAGACTGAGAAGGCTCAAGAGTCTTGAGCAGTGAAGGAAAAATGACTTTGTAGGGCAGTGCATTGGCCCTGTGCAAGTGTCAGTTTGGTTCATTCGGTTTAATTTTGGGCTTTTCAGCACTCCTGGTGCCAAAGGTGGAAGCAGCAGTCTTCTCAGCAGCATGATCTGGGGAACTAGCAGGGGATTGCTTGGCCTCTGTGTGGCTGCAAGGTGACTTTTTTAATGGACATGTGAAATCAGTCACCCTTGCTGCCTGGAGGAGTAAATTTTAAGTTTCTGGAGCTAAAGGTACAGGTTTTTGTAAGAATTTAAATGCTAGGCTGTGCTGTTTGGGGCTGGTATTCTATAAATCCTCTAAAGGGCAGAAACAACACACAATAACGGGTTATTACAATAGCAAAACCCTAAGTAATACCCGTGAGAGTGTGCACATTAGGATATAAAAAAAATCAGCGACTAGGGGGCTGCAGTAACCAGACTTTCTCTAAAGGAGAAAAGGAACTCGAGGAAGGAAGGTGACTGTAATGGCGAATGAAATTGGTATGCCTTGTGTGGCAAATCTGGGCTTCAAAACGACTGGAAAAATGTTTCTCTCTACATAAAAGACATTGCTCTAATGCTGCCTATATCTGTCTATAGCTGAAAAGAAGGCTGCCCTCTTGTTTTTCCCAAAGAAGTTGTTTTTTAGGCTGTGTCAGGCTTTTTTCTGATGTTGCTGTTTTCCAGCAGTGATACAGGCTGTGATGCAAACATAGCAATTTCTTCTGTAAAAAAAAAAAAAAGAAAGAAACATCAGTGGTAAAGATCCAACCAAAAGACAAATCCCTCGCAGAGCAGCTTGGAAAAGAAAGACATTTCAGAAATATATAGCCAAACCTTTTCGAGTTGCTTTGTCTGAAGTTAAGGAACTGGCTGTGTATGCTGACACGGATGCACAGAGCACTTTAATAATGAAGGGGAAATATTGAGAACAGAGCATACCGAGTGCCATGTGCATTTTTAAAGCCCTTTATGAAATATCTGGTGTTTCAAAAAGGAGCAAAAATACAACGATGGGGAATGGAATATGTGGAATGCAAGCATAAGCAGTCTTACAAAACAATGACACTTGTGTACACGGGGGGGTTTCATCCCCGGGTAAAGTTGTTTGGATTAGTTATGAGTATGTTTGCTTTCACAACACACAGGAAACACACAAGCTAGCTTTGCTTGCTGTCTGAGGTACATCTTTCAAAAGCCTGTAATATTCTGCCTCAGACCTTTTGTATGGCAAAAGTAACCACTCTTTGCAGTCCTTGCAGGGATAAGGTGCAGCCTCGGGTACGGGATCAAAATGTTATAAGGAGCCTCTGCTGTAGTTTGTCCGCATAAAGGCTTTTAGATTTCAAGGAAGCAGGTACAGTATCTGAGGCCGTCTCTCAAACAAATCCATCCCCGAAGTTCAGGGCTGTGTTAAATACGTCTTTGCTGTGGTTGTTCATGTTTGCAGTGCACACACACAACCCTGCACACGTTTAACAACCCTGCACACAGTAACAAGGCAGTTACGGATCCTCGTTTGTCCATGAAGAGTTGTGCTGTGCCTTCATCTTACTGTTCACACAGCTGGCCAGATGCATGTGAAAGAATGACACCCGACTGTCAGTCCAAAGTGGACACATTCATTTCCCCAATATTTAGGCAGGAGAAATCTCATCTCTAAGAGCAGCGCTGTAGCCTCTAAGAAGAAAATAAAATGCTGCTTTAGTAAGATGCAGAAGGAAAGAAATGCCTGCATTTAACCACTGCAGCAGGGGAATTTTCCCCTTTAGGGAGCGTTGAGCCAGCTCTGCTGCTGTCAGACCGAGCTGAGAAGAGCTTCGGTGACTTCTTATCTGCAGGAAAGAATTTAAAAGGTACGATAGGGTTCAGCTCATTTGGGGCAGCTCTCTTTGGTGGGGAGCCTTCAAGCTGAGGAAGTGGTGAGGAGCTCAGGGCTGGTGGAGCAGCAGGGCTTGTGTTTGCATGTGCTGGGGTGGAAGAGGTGGAGGAAGAGCTTCAGAAGCCTTTGTGCGTGGTTTCAAGAGGCAGCAGGCTTGAGCAGTAAATGCTGAGCTTTCCTGTGTGGTGACATGACGTGCAGAGCACTTGGACAAGTTCTGACCCGGTGCCCTCCTGTTTTCTGGGACTTGTCCCAAGGGGAAGAAGGGGCTCAGTCTTCTTTCCAAAAGCCTCAGGACAAATCCTTTCCAAGGAAAGGAACAATCATGAGATTAAAACTGAGCGAAGGAGAGATAAATCACTGCCATCCCTTATTAGTTCATGAAGTTATTAGGTAGAGGGTTGAACAGTGCATTGTTCAAAACAACGTGTTGTAAGCAGAACTGAAGGACGTGATTCAGAATCCAGTTTTATTCAGAAATTCCTGAGTGCGATGTGAAAACGGGAGGCTCACCCCTGCCTCACGGAAGGAGAACTGAAAGGCAGAGCACTTGTGGAGCTGGGGGCATGCCAGCCCTGCACAGCTTCCCACAGAAGATGCTTCTGCTCGCAGTTTGGGCTGTGCTGTCTCCCGGAAAGCAGCGTGTACCTGCTGGGAGCCGGCGTGTGTGTGACTTACGGGAGAAGTGGGAATTGGATGGGTCTTTTGGGTGCTTCTTGGTTACGCCGCAGCTCGGCAGTTCCTTAAATGCTGAGCTTTGTTGCACAGTGAATCACGAAAGCATCCTGACTGCCTCGTGACTGGATGGGGTGAGATGCGACAGGGAGGGCTTGTTTGGGGTGAGTGGGCAGTCGCTGAAATGAGGAAGATGTGCAAGTAACGCTTCTCTTGCCAATAGTCACTTCCAGAGAAAGCTTTTGGCCTTGTAGTGCTCTTCAGGACTCCAGAGTTTCATAGGAGAGACTCAGGCAACCTTCAGCTGCAGCAGTGACTCGCTCCATGTGATTTCTCCTGCATTACTTTGCCACCTTCCGTCTTTTGCTAGTGCCATAAAGCAGCGGGAAGAGCGATGCATGCACGCTGCCTTCCCGAGCTGGAGGCAGGAGGATGGAAAGGACCTCTGGGCAATGGGCAAGATAATAAATTGTGAACGCATCTCCTCGTCCCCGTACGGTAATTCTGGCTGACTGATAAGGTAGCAAATCCTGCACAGATTGCATCTAATTTTCTTTTTGCTGAAGAGAACACATTTCCCCTGCCTCGCCTGCCTGCCTTGCTTCCTGTAGCAGAGACTCTCACAACAACGAGAGAAAAACAAAATTGCTTGAAGAAGCAAGAGAGCCCCTCCCAGAAGCTCTTGATCCTCCCTGGTGTAGGTGTTACTGCTCTGCTGTCCTACTGTCCTAGGTCAGGCCTGCACAGGTACATACCTTTATCTTTAAATCTTTAAAGATGTTGATAAAGAGCTTTTTTATTGCTATTATCACAGGAGCGTTCTGATACCATCTCTTAGGGGATGAGGTTTGGCTCTAATTTGGCTGCCTTCTAATTAGCATGACTAGGTTGTCTGGTTTCTCATCAAGGAGAATTATCTGAAAAGCCAAAGTGTTTGATGCTGCCCATTGTAATACGCACCTTCCAAAAAACATTGTTACAATAGCAGTCTCCTGAGGTATCGCTGAGGGATCGGCAGCCCTGTCGTGCTAGGAAATGCATATCAAAATAAGAGAGGACCTCTAAATACGTGAGGATAACAGAAAGGGGAGCACGAGGAGCAGTAAGACCGTTACACAAAGCACAGTAAGTAGAGCCCGAGCACAGCAGTCGCTGTCGGTATGGATTGTTTGGTAGGAGCTGAGGAAGAGCAACACGTGGTGCAGCTGCTGTTCACTGAAAGCCCTGTGGCGTGATGGGGAAATGGGACAAAGCACAAAGGGTGACTTTGAGTCGTGAGGACTAAAAAGTAACACCTCCCGTGTGTTAACCAGCAAAGCTGGGTTCCCAATATTATGGAAAAGCTTGAAGGGGGACTTCAGAGTAAAGGATTTGGTGTTGGTGGTTATCCTGGAGAAACCTGCTGAATGTGCCAGCTAATGATTTGCTGGCATGTTAATGCTGGTCATCCTGCTTGTGGCACCACTCGGTATTTTTTAAGGACATGGGTGATGGAGCTGTGTGTGTGCTTCCTACATTTGCAAGTACTACCAAGCTGGAAAGCCTGCGGGCAGGCTGCAGGACAAGAATAGAAATCAGTGTGCTTTTGAGAAGTTGGAGACACGGTTTGGAAAGAATATTTTTGTTAGAGACAAGTACGAAATGCTGCTATGTGTGCAAAAATAATCGGATGCACAGATGCAAAAATGGAAGGGAAGAAGGGAAGTAACACGAGCTGGAGCTCACAAACTAAATTTCAAGCAAGAATGATATAATCCTGTAAAAAAAAAACAAAACAAAAACAAAAAACAAAAACCTCATTGTACTACTGACTGATATCTACAGGAAAATATCTCTATGGCATGTGGAATAGCCCTTCCACTTGCTGCTAGCACCATTTCATCATGATGATACCTGCCAGTTTTGAGCACCATCTTTTGGAAGAAGATTTGGACTAAATTAGGACAATTCATACAAAAGCATCTAGAGGATACAACTAATCAGAATTATGTGTATATTTTTAAAAAATGAAATGCGGTCTCAGCCTTCAAATGGATAAGAAGGCTGCCACAAGGATCGCATTGAATAATCTGCTCATCTTCACAGTGTGTAGGAGAATTTATGGATTTAAATTAGAGCAAGGAAGATTTAGCTTACCCAGTGGGAGAAAATCTAGTGGAAAAAGAACAGCCAGGTCTCTGGATAGGTCATCTAGGAAGGCCGTGAGATCTGTCCCATCTTTAGAGGGTTTTAAGAACAGCCTAGATGTTGGTGAGGATAAAGTTTGTGTGAAATTGGTCTCGTAACTGATTTTTGCCTTCCAGCTGAAAGACAGACCAGGTGACACCTGGAGATCTCTCCCGGCGTTAAATTCTCGGCCTGTGAAATGAGACAAAAATGAAGCATCTTCCCTTGGCCTTAAAGAAAACCTTGTTTTCTCTCTGTGGTTTTCAGCTGACACAGGCTGTGCAGCGCTTCCTTGCTCAGCTAACTGGTCTGTCACGGGGAGGTACAGCAGTGACGTGAGGAAAGCCCTGAGCAAACAAATTTCACAGCCCTCGCAGCACGTGCCTGGGTTTGCAGACTGCAGCTCGTGTGAGGGCTGCCTGGGCGAGCAGCATCCCCTTCGTCCCCCGTGCCTGCATGAGGCGTCTCAAACGTGCCTTCAGAGACACCTGCCTGCTTTTGTCACGGGGCCACGTGCTTCTAAATAGGTCACAGCTCTCCAAAAACATCTGCCACCTCCGTGGGGTCCTGAGGCAGGGTGACAGCAGCTGAGCACGGGTCAGCGATCCCTCCCGGCTGGGTCTGCCTCGCCCCTGGCCCCTGAGCAGGGTGATGAATTGGGGAGGAATTACCTTTGTAACCCCACGGCCCTGCTGTGTCCAGCTTTGAATCAGCTGCTGCTCTTCTGCAGGGGGAAGGGGAGACCTCGGGAAATGGGTAGTTTGATGGAGCTTGACGGACTTCCCTGCATCTCCCTCACCAGTAGAAATGGTAACTTAAAATGGTGAACACATGAAAATTGCTCTCTGGAGACCAAACTAAAAAGAATTCCTATTTCCCCAGGCTTACCCCACTTTGTGTGACAACCCAGTGTGTTGAGCAAGTGAGAGCTGAAGCTAATTACAACTCTTTTGAGTAACCACATGTATAAATAATCTGCCAACAGAGAGAAGTGTTCCTTCCCTGGTGACTGCTGGAGACTCCAGAAGGGATCCTGACAGTCCCACCGAGCCCGCCTGGATTACCATCGCAAGGCAGAAGCAGAGGGGCACGCAGCAAGAGCAGGAACCCGACAGAGAGAAACTCGTGACTCCAGATGCTAAATCAGACACAGAGAAACAGAATAAAGAGAAGGAAAGAACAGAGGTACGTTCGGTACAAATTGGGGATGCTTTTGTATCCCATTCCTGCAGCAGTCTCCGTATCTACTGCTATTCTACCAACCAAATGCCGCAATGATCACAGATACTGAATGAGTACAATCATAAGTAACAGAGACACTGCTCTCGTAAATGTGTTACTGATGCAGAGTCCCCTGGTTATTCAGATAAATACTTTTATATCTCCAAGAAATCCTGGAAGTAAGAGAGGTGTGTGAACTTCCTTGGGTTCCCAGTACACGCTCACCAGACTTGGGGTGTGTGTTGTAGGCTAAAATAACCCAAATGAGGTGCTGAATTGTAGGGTCTCTCTCAATACAGCGGGAACAAATTCCCTTAATTATTCTCCTAAGCACACCATTGCACTGAATCTCCTACACCTTCTGGCTGAGTTAACACTGAATGAAGAGCTTGGTCCCAGAAGGATTTTAGAGCAACAATTTTTAGAGCTCTGAGAAGTGAAACGGGATAAAAATAACTTTCACACTTGCAGCCAGTGCCAAGATACAAATTCTGGCTCTTTGTACAGGGATAACTCAGGCGCACACGTGGTGCCACAGAACACGGGCCGACGCTGCCTCTTCAAAGATCCCCTGCAAAGGAAGGTGATACCTGTAGCAAGAGATCTTCCCGGGTGACAAAGCTGTGCTAGCAGAAGCACTTGGTGTTAATGCAGAATACTAACAAGGCTTCCCTGGTGCTGGGCTGGCTCGTGGAGGCAGCAGCGTGCGAGTGCTGCCTGTGTCTCCTCGCCTATACCAGTTTACCATTCCCAGTGCAAATGACCTAGTTTCTTGCTTAAAAATGGTAGTATAAGAAACCCAGATCACTGTGCTATTCCCTCAAATAAGAAAAGATGTCTAGGTGATGAAAAATAGCAGTGGGTAGATTAACAAGAAATAAAATCTAATAAAACGTCTAGGCAAGATTGTGAACTGCAATAATAGGCAGCATTGTCACCGCAGTTAAAACACTGCGGGTTTAAATAATCCCAAAGTACAGTTTCTGTGTCAAAATAGGAAACTCCAGATTGTAGTTGGCAATGTTCCCTAAAATTCATGCCACGCGTTTAATTTCCCTGCCTCAGCTAAGAGAGAAGCATGCCAAGATGCTCCTGACGGCAGTGTGCGAGGCGTGGTGCCGCTGTGCTGCTCCCGCTTCCTCTCGCTCTCGTGTGGCACCAGGCACTATCGCTTCAGGGTACTTCTTGATACTGGCAAAAAAAAAAACCATGGGAGGATGTGTTTGATTTCCTTTTTATGGAAATTTACATTCAATCCTCCAAAAAAGCAGTGTACTAAAACACAAAATTTGGGAGGTGGAGGGGAAGTATGAGAGAACAAGGCTGTGTCTATGTCCTCTATATGTTAGTAGAGGTTTCCAAAGGGCTTGGAATACATTTTTACTTTATAACAGCCTACTCATAAACACTGTTATGACAAAAAAAAGATATACAGAGGACTAGTTTCAATTTGTGAAGCTGAGTACTGTGGGCACTAACGTGAACTCCCCAGAGCTCTCTGTACAGTTACTAGTTTGAGTGAGAGGAGTGGAGCTGGTGTGTGATAAGTCCCTGTGGTTTGGACCACGACAGGCACCACATTCACTCCCTTTTGTTCTTGTTCTTCCAAACTGGTCACGTTCTCTGGGCATTATTTGGATTTTATCCCTCTCTGTACCTAGGAGCCAGTGAAGCAGCAATGGAGCAAACCTTCATCCTTGGCACTTAAACCCACTTCTGAAGAACAGAGGAAAGAGTCAAAGTCTGAAGTGAAGGAGCCGCTGATGAGAACCAATTCACTGTCACACTTTGTCCCCGGTAGGAAAGAAAATGTTTGAAATGTAGCCTCTTATCTCATAACCTCGTCAGAAGAAATCCTGCTCGAGTGCGCAGGAGGAGTAGGGGTTAGATCCTAATCTCTTCCCCAGTCCCACATCAGCAAGAGCAAACTGTGTTCTCAGCACTCATGCCTGGAGTTTTATGGTGCCATATTCCCTCTTTTCCCTCTTTGATCACACAGTAGTCAAAACTCAGGTTGAAAGAAATGTGAATCAAGAGTGCCAGGCCACTTCACAGGATTGGGTCCCAAACGTAAAAAGCAAAATGCAGGCAAAATTATTTTCAGCAGTGTTCAATTTCCACGTGTTTTCCCAAGCAAGCAAGAATGATGTGATCACCAACTATCTGCCCATCAGCCCTCCCCCAATAACTTTGCATCTACCTGGTGAATTCAAATCTGAAAGAGGGGCAGAAATTTGGACGGTAATAAAATTCCTGTGAGTTGAAGGTTGGGTAAAGGAGGAAGTCTCAAATGAGTGCTCTCGCTAATGGAAAGTCTCGCTCTTGTTTGGCCTGGCTGTTAACACAGAACATGGCAAGGAATCGAGGTCACCTTACTGTTTTTAGTAAGTTTAGGGACCAAAATGTATTTGTCGTTTCAAAACCAAACCAAACCACTGCATTCTGTTGTGCTCAGAATGGTTATTGCCTCAGTAATGTCTCGTAGAAGTTTTGCTGTGAAATGCAAAGATTTCCTACTGCAGAGCAAGACTCAGCAAGTTTTTAATGGGAGAGTTAGGCTGCATAGCTGCACAGCAAGCTAACGTAAACTGTACCTGTGTTTTATTCACAGTAGCTCAGTCACCAGCACTGACGGATAAAGAGGAGGAAATCATTCCCTTTAAGAAAGCCAGTAATGCTGCTCCAGACCAGCCATCGTGGATGGAACTCGCCAAAAAGAAATCTCAAGCCTGGAGTGATATGCCCCACATTATAAAGTAGAATGATGCAAACAAGTGACATTTTTTCTAATTAAGTCACCTACTAAATCGAACTTCTACAGACCAGCTAATCACAATGAAGAATCTCTGATACCAGAGAGGGCTCTTACTACATAGCTGTGGAGAATGTGTGCAATAGGTGCAGTCAAAAAGTTTACCTTAAGCAATTGCAGCAATCAGGATTGCAATGGATTACTTAAATTATGCTGAGGACATACTTACACTTTGGAAAACAAAATTTCTGCCTTAAGTATTTCCTGTGTTTTCTGCATTTTAAGATGTTTGTATCAAAAGAGGATCTTTTTAAAATTTTGCTGAATTTCAGTCGTTGCTGGAAACTTCTGTTTGTCGTTTTTTTCCTCTGTTTACATGTATAAATTGTGCAGTAACATCCCGATCCTGTTGTGTTTCACTGGAATTGCCCGACGCTTTTTCTGTCAAAGCTGTGTGGACCACAGAGGTTTTCATGAATAGCTCCTAGAGAGTTCTCCACTAAAATGTGTTGCTTGAGCTCTGTGTTTGCCTAGCTGAACCGAGAGTGGTGCAGCCTCTGGTTTTAGGTTACATTTCATGAGACACAAGTGTGCACGTGACCAGGAATAAAAATTCCTCTGCTCCTTCTATGAACAACCTTGGTTGCACAATATTTGCTAGATAGCGAGCAATAAGGAAACTGAACTGAAGTAGGAAGCTCATTGATGCATTCCAATCTTTCCTACCTGAATTTATCTGGTTGCAACTGTTTTTCCTTTATGTGAAATCATCATTCTCAGTTAGGAGCATAGCATTAGTGGCAACAGACAGTTTGTATGTTTAGTTTAAAAAAAAAGAACTGGAAAGCCTTGAGCTACAGCCCAAACTGAAATGTTGGAAGAAACTGTGAACTCCATTGCAGTGTCAGCTTCAAATGTCACCCCCTACCGACTCATAATTATTCTCATTAAAAAATAATAATCATAGCATCTCTGCACCTTACTACCTTCATATAATATTCTCACACTGTGCAACTTGAGTTTCCAGCACCAGTTTGGGACTCCAGCTCATGAAGTCATGTAGGCAATTCACCTTCAGCTGCTTAACAAGGTTGAAGAGAGAAATATTTGCTGCTGATTGACCAAAATCACTCTGAATGTGTTGTAGCACCTCCCCGTGAGCTATGCAATTGCAGTTAAAGGAGCTAACAACAAAACCCATTCCAAAACACTGGGAATTGAATGTGTCACTGCTAAGGCAAATGTTTCTCTTTGTGTATGGCTGTACGTGTGAGGTGTTGCCTTACCACTGCACTCCCTAGGTTTATTTATGTTTGTATTTGCAATTTTGGATTTGTTGTTGCGTTAACATTCCTTTCAGAAAAAAAAATAATGCAGGGGGACCTTAGGAAACCTAGGATTTCCCAAGAAGCACATCTGTGATGTTGAAGTTTTGTTTTCTCTGAGGAGGTGTGGAGTAAAACCCAGCCTCGCTCAGTGACAATTATTTCATTTCACAACAAATAAGCAGGGCATTGGAGTGTGTGAGTATCCGAGGCTCCGACAGCAGATTTTGGACAGATATCGTTCATCACAGAAAACAGGAGGACGAAAACCAAGTGTTGTATTATTTATCAAAGCCAGGAAGCTCGCGTGGTTGCCGAAGGCCTCACTCAGCCTTTTGCACAGCTGCACCCAGCTCGCCAGCCAGCCGGCAGCGGGGCTGGCTCCGAGGTGGTTGCTGCCGACTGGCCTGGGGTTTTCTCTTTTACACAGGCCACAAAGGGCATTGGAAGTGGCGAGACAGCCCTCTGCTAACAGAGCCACAACAGAAATAGTGACTTGGCTGTACGACAGCAGCCTTGGGCTGTGCTGTCCAAAGGCTGGTCATGCAAACACTTTTTTGTGTTGTCCCCCACCATGAGAATGGGTGCACAACCCTTAATCTCAAGGGTTTTTTGCTTTGTTTTTGTATCCAGGTCATCCTCTAGGATCTACAATAGAAATGGGCACATTTTTCAGATACCATAAGCAGCATTTTAACTCCCTCTGTAATAAATAATTCATTAGCATAAAGTGTTATTTTAAGATACATTGTTGCTATCTGTAGCAATCTTCAGCAAATGGTTTCTGTATTAATGGACTGTCATATATGAAAAAAGGACCCAATATGTGCTCTCCCATTATTGCCAAAGTCCCAACCCACATCCCATGCATCACGAGATGTAAATCCCAGAATCGTCTAGGTTGGAAGAGACCTCCAAGATCACCGAGTCCAACCTCTGACCTAACAGTAACCAGCCCTCCACTAAACCATATCCCTAAGCTCTACATCTAAACGTCTTTTAAAGACCTCCAGGGATAGAGACTCAACCACTAAAGGTATGGTCCACCTCCTTGCAGTCCTCCCGCTGGCTAAAATCATGAAACCTGATGAATTGTGCCTATTTCTGGAGTGCGAGCTGTGCAGCAGCTGCGTGGGGAAGCCTGGAAAGCCCTCAGACCATCTCCTGTTGGAACAGGCTCAGGAATAACGGAGCAGGAAGGTGGGGGTCCGCTGGCATGGCCTGTGCGATCTCAGGGAAAGCAACACCCGGGTGCTCCCCATCTCAGACAGCTCTCGGACACCTCCTGGGGTGTTCTGGATCTGAGCAGGAGGCTGCAGATACCGAGGGTTTAGGTGCTTCGAAAAGCAGCTCACACATTTGTGGAGTCAAAACCCATCAAGTGCTGTTCAACACGAACGGCGGGGCCTTGGCCTGGGAGGTTGCTGAAGGCTCTGGCTGGTGGACTTGGCTTCTGCGCCACCTCCTACCGCAGCCATCGGCACTGGCCTGTGTGAAAGCAGCCCCGTGGTCCTCTGCAGCTTGGACTTGGCCACCTGGGGGAAATTTCATCCTCTCACGGCATCGCTCTGCACCCTCGCTTCTTTATTCCAAGTCCAAGGGTCGTGCGAGTGAGTCCCGACACCGCTGCGTGGTCAACAGGCAGGTAGAAAACAGGTTCTGAACCCGTGCATTTTGCTTTGGACAAACACCTCATCAGCGGCAATGGAAAGCTGCAAATACAAATCCATTTTTCTTCTCCGTATGAAGGGTGATTTATCGTTCACGCTTCACGCCACCGGAACAAGCCTTTCAGATCTGATCAGCTTTCCTAAGGACATCATTGCACGTTTCCAGCCGAGAAGCAACATGACTGACTCCAGCCGATCCATTTTGCTCAGGCAGCTGCAATATAGATGGTCGGTACAGAACATCTAACGCTGGCATCAAACCTAAAAATTCACCCTTTGTTCGTGACTCACACGCATAAACGGACGCAGTTTGGATTGCAGTCAAAGAACAACAACAAAACACTTGGGAAACAGAACGGCTTCCTCTCCCAGAAGTGATTTGTGAGACGTCTTTGGCCTTCTGTCTGAGGAGCAAGGTGACATTTGGCAATCAGTTTTGTCCCCGCTGGTGAAGCGCCCCGCGCAATGCAAATGCAGCCGCGTGCCGTGCATCTTTCTCTGCAAGACCTGTACGTTCGGTGACTTAGTTTACGAGTGGGATTATCGTAATTAGCTACCTCCTAATGTTTAGTAATTTTAAGTAAAAAAAAAAAAAGACTAAATGATTTTTAATGTACAGCAAAGCATAATAAATGTTTAAGGCCAAAATAGCCCTCCAGCCTTTACTTTGATATGGTGTTATGTGCTGTGTTGCTTTTGACAGTAAAAGCGTTTATGAAATGCATTGCATTTTTCTGAAGATGAAGAGGAATATAAAATCTTGTTGTCAGGGAAAATATCCAGCAGCAGCGTAGCGAGCAGCTCGCTGTAATTTTGCAACGCCATTAATCCCCTTTTAGTTTGGAGGGAGCGCAATAAACATGCCAAAATGTTTGCTTTGTAGACGTGATGAGCACTCAGCTGCGGGTAACAAAGGTTTAATTACAGGATTCCGTGTTTGCGGCTCACAGATCACTTCTGCACTGTTACAGAGGAAAAAAGAGGGACCTGTGAGCACGGGGCCATGCCGTGCAGCTCATTAAGCCCCAGGGCAAGGCACAACCTGGGTGACCCGGCACGGCCTCGCCACGCAGGACTGATTTCTGCAGAAGGAGCGGGCACAGCTCTGGGGCTGTCCCCTTGCTCCCTGGTGAATTTTACCTTAGCTCGCTTCTTCCCAGGGTTCACCAAGCTGCCCAGATGTTGGTGGGAGGTATTGAGCTCGAAGAGATGCGATCCTCTGTTGTCTGATCGTCTGATCTCAGAATAAATACCAATAGGAGGTTTTTATGGATTATTACTCCCAGGTAGTTCTCTGCCTCGTGGTACTCTTCAAAGCTTTATGCTGGTGCAACGCGTTTTCCCAAGGTCCATTCAGCTCTTCCTTCCCGTGGGTGCCTCTGCTTCACCCCCTGACCCTAATTCTCCTCTCCGTTGGCTCTGTTCCCAGAAGAAACCCTTCTGGCTCACCTAACACAGCTTAAATGGAGGTCATTCAGGAGATGCTGACCCCCCTCCCTCTCCAGGACCCCTGGCCTCTCTCAGGAGCTGCTCCGAACACAGCCCAGACTGCACCCAAGTTCCCGAAGCACAGTGATGAAGAACCATTTGCTTCCTTCCACCTCAGGTACCTTTGCAGTCTGTTGTTGATTTCTTTTTGTTAGCTTGCAAGGCTTTGTTTATTAGCTGATTTGCATATGAAATGGGACGCGGAGCAGGCTCGCAGTCCCACTGAAGCCTGTTCTGTTGTCTTCAAGGACACGGAGCCAGGTACAGCGGTACCTGGGGGCCTCCTGATGCCCTGTAGCAAGGAGTCCCCGTTTCTCCCCCATGATTTCTGAGTTGACGTGTGATTTCCTAACCTACCTTTGTAAGTAAATTCTGCCTGAGAAACAGGCTAATAACAGGAAGGGTCATGAGTTGGTCATTTACCAGCTGGTCCTTAAAGGGCCCTTCCAACCCAAGCAGCTCAACTGGGAGTTTGAACTGGAGAGCCAAGGTTGTCCCAAGTCAAGCTCTGGTAATAGTGTTTCCCCCCAAAATCCCATCCTCACTTTATTTTATTCATATTTTTTTATTTTAATTTACCCCTCTGAATTTAACGTGACTATCCATCACCCCTACAAACCACTGCCTACACCCAGGGTCCAACGAGAGCAGTCCAGAAAGAGCAGAAGGAAACCCCCCCGAGTTCAGACAAGAGGAGAATTCATTTAACAGCAGTTCAGGAAAATACAGCCACCCTCATGAAAGAAATAACAGAGAAGCCTTAATAAGCGGCTGGCTCTTCCTCTCCCCGCTCAGCACAGGAGATGATTTTGATGGGCACGCTGCCTGCCGATGAGGCAGACGAGCAAGGCCCGGAGCCTGTCCAGACACAGCACACGTCGGTCCCAGCCTGGCCGCTCCTCTAAGCAAGGGTTGCCTGCTTTTAACTCCTCGGCATCTACCGGAGGCGAGTGATGCAAAAGCAATTGCTTTTTGCCTCGTGAAGCCTTTTGTGTGGTCACGTCCTTACAGCGACCCACAACAAAGGGACTCCTGAGCAAGAGCTGTCCGACCTGAGGGGGCTGCGAGGAGCCCAGTGTGCCCTCTTGCTCCGGACTCCTCCAAAAATATTAAAATATTCCTCCAAAAATATTATTTTGTGAAGGATTTCCCATTTCATTTTTCCCCCCTTTGCACAAATAACTCCTCAGCTCTACCCATAGGAGTCCGCGGGCACCGCTCTCAGCGGTGCTCGGACTGAGCCTTAGGCATCACGCCAGGGCTGTGGGAGGAGACGAGGTGGTTGCCTTGGCTGCTCTTGTACAGATTGATTGACGAAGAGGGAGCCTCTCTGCCTGTCTCTCAGAAGCTGCCTGGAGTAATTTGGAGACCTCGTTAGGAAGTAACGGATGAGTTTTGGAGAAGGCAGGAGGACACGAGCTTGATTTCTTATGTAACGTTACTGAAATGCTACTGAATAAACTCAGAGTTAAAAGGGGCATAAATCTCCATCTTGCCTAAATGAAATAACTTTTGAAGTTTTTTTGCTTCCCATAAATGTAAGTTAAAAAGTGCCACTTACTGAAACACTTGGTATTAGAGAAGATTGCTTGCTCCCAGGACGTACAAGATTTTTCCTCTTAATGTAGTGCGTGATCACACCTTTAAAAGGAAACAACTTCTGGTCCCAGATTCTGCCTTTCCTTCGAGCAGCTTGGGACAACGTGGGGCTTGGGCACGGGAGCTGTTTTGATCCAACTAGAGTACGCGGCCTGCCAACACGCAGAGCTCTTTTCTGCTGCAGCCTCTGAGTTTGACTCACTGAAGCACTCCCCCGAGCCTTACCTGGAGCTGGGGACATCCCAAACACATTCAGAAAGCTCATCCCAGCCTCTGAACCTCACAGGGAGTCACCCCAAAGCCCAGGCCTGCGGGCAGCCTGTGGGAGCAGGGGCTCACAGAGCCCTTCCCCAGAGCACAGGCCTTCAGGCGTCCCCAAACGTTACCTGCCACAGACACAGGGACCCAATATAATCAAAGCAGTCTGCGTGTTGATTAATGAGTGAATTAAGCCATGAAATTTGGGCTCCCCCATCTCTCTGAGGTACAGTGCCTGATCCGCTGTGCTTTTGTGTTCCTCTCAGCTGCCTGTAGGAGTTTCCGCTGGGCTCGCCACGCTTGGCCACCTACCTTGGCGTGGCATCTTTTGATCACTGTAGCTCGGTGTAGTTACTTGTCTCTTTGTGACTAATACGCTTTATGAGCTTCCCCTGCTGTTAATAAACATAGTGGTGTTTAATTATTGAGACATTTCATAAAAATGTTTTGGAGAGGGAGACAAATTTTATGTTCTGACTAAATAATTGAACATTATGCAAATGCTAACAACTCCGGCGCTCTGGTTATGTAAAACAATACTTGGATGATGGCCTTGTTTGCACACTGAGTTAGGATTGCTGGGCTGTAATTAGCAGCAGAGAGAAGCGTTACTCCGATTTAAAAACAAAAACAGGTTTTGATGAAACGGGAAGAGCACCAGGCTGCGGGCCAGGCTGCAGAGATGCTCTCCATAGGAGATGGTTGGATGTTGTCCCCTCACCATCCCAGTCCCATGCTCTCCAGGAAGCAAGGCCAGCCCTGGGCTGATCCTGCAGCTGGCAGCCTGTCCTATATGCACAGGGAAGGGACAGGGCTGGGGCCTGTGACACAAACCATGGCGTGGGAGAGCAAAGGAAGAAATCCACTGCTTGCCACCAAGCCCCTCACCTGCACCCAGAGTGACGCTCTCCACCTTGGCCTTGCTCTTTCCTCCGTTCAGCCACAAAATCCTGGCCTTTGACAGCTTAAAGGTTTCCTCACCTGTAACAAGGTTCATCGCGAGATGAGTCATCCTGAGGGCTGGCTATGAACATGCTGCTACACATCTGCCATAATCCCGTAACCCGGGGTTAAGTTGTAATCACCTGAACGCACAAAGGGCGCCGTGTGTCAGCACTGCGATATCTTACGGCTTGTTTTTTTAATTTATTTTCTCCAGGAATAACAGCAGCAGTAAGCACGGCATGAAGCATGCCAGTGGCACAGCTATTGCAGCTATCAGACGTGTCATCTCCGACACGCTACAAACTTCAGAGAGAGTGCAGGAATTGCTCGGTGTGCTCCGGCTGCCAGGAGCACGCCTGCCTTTGCTGGTGCCTGTCCTGACCCCGTCCCGTTTGCTCTCATTACCTGGGTGGAATTAGCGTTTGCCCACGCGATTGCACAGCATGTGGGATCACACCGGGAGCTGTCATTCTGAAAAGTCCTTTTTTTCTGGGTATAAAATATGATATCAACATACTGCTCTTACACTGCTGTTTTTCCTTTGTGCGTGAGGAGAGCGATTTGCATGCGACTGAGAGAAAGCTGAGCGCCTCCTTTGCATGTGGAGACGGGAAGCTAAAGCTTCCTTTGAATCTGTAAAGAAAGGGCCATGCTACTTTATTTTAAAGCGTGTGTCCTCGGCGTCCTTCCTAGGGAATGGAGCTGCCTAATAGTCCCAAAGCTCTCGTGCTATTACTGTCATTTCTTGCTGCTGGTTGGCGCGGCAGCAGTGCCCACCTTGTTGCTACTTACGCCTTGTTCCAGACACTCGGTTAGAGCTCCTCTTTGATTGAGGCTCATTTGTCTTTTTTTACTAAAACCTTGGTCTAAAAGGCCCTAAAATGCAGGAAAATGAACTCATTATTTCTAAATGCCACGCTCCTTTCCTACCTCTATTTTCCTGGCCATCTACCATCCTCCCGCTGCTGCTGGGGGAGCCGTAGGTTCGCTTTGTGGGGAAGAGATGGGATTCTAAATTGGCAGAAAGATAACTCTCCAATGAAAGAAACATCACTAAAACCTTAAAGGCCAGTCAGGATGGCTTAATATAGCCCGGGTTCCCGCTGCGACAGGGCAAAGAACGAGATCTTTTCATTGCAGCAGAGCACCAGCTCTGCTGGTTTAATGGAGAGTGGCTTGGATAATTATTTCCAGTGCTCCCAGGTTCACGCGCTCACAGGGATTGTCTTGACGCCTGCTGTGCCTCAGGGGGACACAAGTTAAGGTTGACAAAACCTACTGCAGGTAGTTTAAGTGAGGGGGTCTAAAGATGTCATCCTCTTATTCCTTCTCCCCTCCACTCCAGATCAACTGCTGGC